ATCTTCAAGAATCAGTGGTTTCACAGAAATGGTCGCCGATCTTTGTTGGCTCCAGGTCATGGCTGGTGAGTAAAGGAAGCTGTTGGAATGAAGGGCTGGGTGAGACTTGGCCAAAGTTTGATCACTGGCCTAACATGTGCCTAACATGTGCCTAGCACAACGTTCAAACCATGAACGAAGTAGTAGCCACTATATACTTAGGCCCTTTGGATGCTTCGCTGGCCGGCGCTTCGCGTCGCTTTTTACCGCCCAGGCGCCCGGGTGCGAATTGGAGCCCCGGCACAGCACCAGACCACCCATCTCCTCGGCGTGGAACGGAAGCGATTGGTTGAGCCACTTAGCTCGGTCGTAAAGAAAGCCAGATTCCATCAGATTCCATACCCCAAACTCCCAGAAGATCCTGGTCATCTGCCTTCAACGGCGGCCACCCTGCTGGGCTGGGTCATCTAAGATTTGATGGATCTATGATCTATGTCTTTGCAAGGACGGTTTCTCACTTCACCCCGTGATGATCACCTCGCCAAGCCAGGCTCTTCACGCAAAGACCCAAGCAAGCAATTTGGACCAAACAGCCAACGGACTGGCCAACCAACCACCCAACCAGCCATCCCACGATTGAAACAACCAAACACCAACGGAACTTCGACCAAACCGCTTGCTGCCCCGTGGCTAAGGGAATCTCTGTCACCGGGATCCAAACCGCCAGCAGCTCGGTTGGCTGCTGCATGAGGCGTCCCATGTAGACCTGAACGAAGGAACGAGTCGAAACGAGTGGGAATGGACTGCTGTAGAGGAACTAGTGGCGATGTTGCGGCCAAAAAGGGGGGGGGACCGCCGTAGATGGAGGCTTTGTTGGTCCCGAAGTGATCCTCTGACATCCTGCCTGGGAAGGGACACTTGGTAGAAGAAATGGATGAACACATATTATGCAAGCCCATCGAGTTTGACCCACCTTTCGCGATCGAGCTAAAAAAGCAGTCTCTAGAAGTGATTGTTTTTGTTCTGTTTGCGAATTCGATGGCATCATCGATGCTGTTCAACTGCCGGCTAGCATATGTTTTTTGACATTTTGTGCACGTTAAGTGACTACACAGGTGAGATACCGTATCATATACCCATGAATGCTGTCATACCCATGAATGCTGTCATGTGCTGCTGGTGATGAGCTTTCCGAAACCTTGGTGTATAAGTTAGCTTTGATCGTTTGAGTATATATTTGAAATCACCTTGGATGAAACTGGGGCACATGAAACACCTGAAACTATGAATGACCAGGCTTCAATCACTGTGATTTGTCAGGATGCCTTGGTGTTCGGAGCCTTCATGGGCAATCTAACTTGTCTTGCTTCTATATGTGTCTTGTTATCAGAATGTAACTGGACATGAATTAACTAACATAAGAAATAACATGAAAAGAACCATCAAATTGTGCTGTCCCGCCTCTTTCAAACACACCCAGCTCATCCCATGATACAACCACACCGACTCCTTTCGTTGCTCCAGCACCGAGGGACCGAGTCGGTGTGGAAGCCGGTGCTCTGCTGGGGCAGAACCGCACGGAGGTTGGCGGAGTCAAAGACGGGCTGGGCGGGAGAGTTCAAGAAGTGATCCAAGAAGAGGAAGAGGTCCTTGGGTGATTGCAACGGTTTTTGAATGTTTTTGATGGTTTTGGTGGGTGATGGTGTGTGCAGTCATGTGTGGTGGGATATAATTGGGTATATACACCAAACGGGGGTGATTATAACATTATATAGGAGGTGTGTTTAGGAGTCTTGCTTGGCGAAGTGGGAGGTGTGGGGTTGGTGGGGTATGTTGGGTACAGAATAATCGGGTTCACATTGGGTCTTAGAGTCTTGATTGCTTTCGATGTTCCTTCCTGTTCATTGGCGTGGTTGGGAAAGGTGGATTGAACATGGTGCTGCGAATCAAAACAAGGCAAATGAGAAGACTGCCTCACTTCAATTACTTCGACTTCACAACAGAACCTGAAAGCAAGTTCAGGTGCCCTGTTCAATTCAATCAATGTTCCCAATACCAAATCAGTGTGATACTGTGTTATACAATTATCATGACCTTATAACCACTGCTGCATTCATTTGCATTCCATGTCGACCTGCCAAGGTGTAGCCACCAAGCATTAATTCTTTTGGTTCGGAGGTTGCAATGTAGAAGACCGAAATCTCGGAATCCCAAAGCACATGGATCGGTAGCAAAAAGCCACATCTTCCCAAAATCGCCCAACCAATTCCTCTCATTGTCAGGCTCTATGCTACATACTTCAGTGCTGCCACATGCCTCCCTTGTCCCATATCGCCATGGCTCTGGGTGATTCAGCAGTGCCAGGACCTCCGAAGATGCCAGACTTCGGACATCCGCTGTCGCATCCGCAGCTTTTCCCGCCGACTTCGGCGCGGCCTGCGACTTCGGCGAAGCCGAAGTCTGGACTGGAGGAGGGTGAAGCCACTCACTCGACGAAAGGAAAGAACTGCACCACCCGAAGCCGAGTTCAAAACCCCACAGTTTGAAGGACCCTAGTTTTCGTTATAGACAATCTCATATAGGTATCCCAGGTGACGGGCCCTTATAAGGTCACTTAACCTATCTTGGAAAGTCCGTGCGTCGGTGTTGTTGCATCTCTTCCTTTCGCGGATTTGCAACACCTGGCTGACTGACCAGCAGAAGTTTGGGGGAACTCCCTGGGCCGCTCCGAACGGCTGCCTGATTGAATGTGAGATACCCTCGTAGCTCCTGAGCCGTTGCCCACCGGCTCTGCCCTTGATACCTGCTCTGCTGTGATCGTTTCTCCAAACCTTCTACCGGACTCTCACCCACGGTCCAAAACGGACGTGCCGCTGCATGCCGCTGCCATCCATCTGTCACATCCGGTGCGTTCTCCGGCTTTCGGTTCCTCGGAAAATCCGCATGTAAAACTAATCCCGCCTTCCCTTCTTCCAAAGGCGTATCTTTGGCCAGTAGCCCCAAGCTTTGCAAACCACGAAGAAGTGACAGCCGTGCTTTCTGCACCGCTGAAGATGGCAAAAGGCCCCTGGGCACCGGCTTGCACTCTGAGGAGAAGACTGGAACCTTACACCTCAACAACACGTCTTCCCACAGTGCTTGACTGGAGAAAGCCCCCATCAACGTTCAGTGACCAGGTTCCATGGCTCTGAAGAAGACACATAGCATTCACCCATCTAATCCCAAAAAATCCACCCTGGCCTCAGGAAAAGGTATCCATCTGCCCAAAGCCTGGCCCGCAGCCGCCCCCGCGCGCGGGCGCCCCGGCGTCCAGCTTGGGCGCACAGCTCATGGGCCGCACAGGAGGAGTCCCTCGCAGCGTCCACCCGGTTCGGACCCGACGGTGGGGCAGGGTTCGGGCGCGACGGTGTGGTGGCAGAAGTAGAAGAACCGAACATATCCCGATGGGTTTGATGTTGAGATGGATGAGGTTCCACTTTGGACGAAATGGTACAGACCGGTTGAGACCACGTGCCAAAAATCACTCAAAGCTGCGCTCCTCTACTTCTGTCCTTGCCATAGGCCGGAGTGGAAGAAGTTGGGAAATTTGTCATATACAACAATTTTGCAAACCTGGAAGATAGTCTACAAAATTACCACGTCCCACAAACCATCCGCAGTGCCCGAACGTCAGGATTGGTGTCACGGTGACCGCTTTTGTCACCATCGGTGACCTCAGCGGGAGCGTTCCCGCCATCGACGGGTCTGGTGTCTGTGACTTCCCTGTGGGTCATTCTCCCCCGTGTGTCCCATTCCACGGGATTTTTCAGGAAGTTCCGAGAAGACGGTGAGTCTGGTCATTTTGGGATCCCCTTTTTTGAGAAGAACATGGAAGACATCCAAGCCAACCCCTGGAACCTCCACGCCGGGGAGAATGGAACGTCTGTCCATGTGTCCGTGCGGAACCGTGGAACGCCGTTGTGCAACTCGCCTGAGTTCACCCAAGCGAGCGGATCCCAGGACATAGTCCCTCAGGAACGGGTGGGCCGAGCAGAAAAGGTTGAAGAAACAAAACCAGTCTTGGAGTCAAAAGAGCTGAAGTTCTTGGAGTTCAAAAGACATCTTAAGACCTAAGAGAAGATTTTCAGAATCCATAAAATCCTGTTCTTTAAGGCTCTAAGATGCAATAAGTATACTGAGGTGTCCAGTCTAAGTTGCAAAAGAAGACTTTTGAAGCCGAAGCAACATGGGAATCCTTCACTTCTTCAGGGCCCCACCAGCCGGCCGTATCCTCTGGGCCGAAGCTTCTGGTACATGGAGGGTTGGAGTTTAAACGTTGTAAAGGCCATCATTCCATTGAAACGATCGGTGCCTTGGGGGGGGAACACCAATTGTTACGCACCGAAAGAAAGATCTCCATCAACTCTCTGCAAAGCCCAAGCATCTGCGTGCCTAATCGAGCTCTCTTCTTGGGAAGCAAACACACCTCATCCTCCTCGCAACTCTTCGAGCCGCATACCCGCTTACGGCTGCGCACCATGACGTGTGCGCGCGACCGTCGCGCGCTTCATTGAATCACGGACACATGGCATCAATGATCATCGCTCTCGAGTGCAAAGAGTCGATCTATTTGCATAGCTTGTCTACATCACGATCATCAGCAAGCAGCCAACCTCAAAGATATCTTACAGGACAACCTCTCCGGGTCTTTCCGACATTTCCACTGGGTGGATGGATTGTCCTCATTTTCCTCACCGGAGACCCACACGTTGGCTCACAGACCTACGAGTTGGCTAGATAAACTGAAACCAGGGAGATCCAGGGAGTAAGTACGAGAGTCAGACGAAAATAATCTTTCAAAGTCCGGGGTTGCAATTGTTTTTCCCAAAATGCCTGAAGCAAATGTTTCAACTCTCCGAGCCAAAATGTACAGCGGACGCCAATGGCTCTTCCCGTCTCGGTCGGCGGATGACTTCTGCGCTCGGCCGGGTTCGTCGAGCGTCACACGTCCTTTTTCGTCGAGCCGAGCAGCGTCGAGCCGCTCACTGCCTCGGTGACCGCGACCGAGGCCCGGCGACATGCGGTGCTGGTGTAGAAGGTGTGTCCGCACAAGACTGAACTCAGACAGTGAGGAGATATTTGTATAAATTTGTTGAGTCTCAATCCTCTTGCAACAATCACAGGCAATAAAGACTGATAATGGTTGTTTGTGACTGAACTGCTTGGCCTATACAAACAACCTTGACCTTGAGACCTTTTTTTGTTGCACCATTTTTGTTGAGGCTTGATGGTGTGAAGCAAATTGGATGTGAATAAACAAAGGACCAGCAGGTTTTAGAGTTCTAACTGGTTCCATGAGACGACTATTGTAGTTCTTTTAACCATGGTGCCCTAAAAGGCGTCCCATTGAACCACAGTGAACCACATGAACCAGCACTTTGCCAGCAAATCAACACCATAATCATGTGAATCCCCACCAGGCGTCGCCCCTACCACCCAGTCCGCCCCTCTGAGCAGCCAACTCCAATTTCTGTATCTCCGCCGCCCAGGGCCTCACGACTATGTGAGGTGTGCCGTTCAGATGGAGACTTGGACAAACCAACTAGCGAGGAAGGGGTGGGAGAGGGGAAGAGGTACGTTTCCTCAGGTAGTTAGGAGCAAGTTGCCCACGAGGATCCAATGGGAGGGTAGTCGATAATTTATCCAGTGCAAAAACGCTTTAGAATTTTATCGTTGGAAATACATCCATTTTGTTTGTTTGGGGGTTCTTAGCCGGCTCTTTGCAAAGAACTTTGTTGAAGTAACAACCTTGAATGTGATTAGTTTGTTCTGCTTATATAAGTTGGTTTAGTTGGTTGACGAAAAGGGGCACTAAGAAAACTCTTAAAGGAAGCATGAACTGGTCCGCCAAGCTTAAACTGTTAGTCCATCTATGAATGTGCCGCGCCCGAATAAATATCTGCATCTCCAGGAACTCAACGAAAAAGTAATACTCTGCAACTGCAACTCGAGGAGCTCCATCTCACCAATAGGTCCAGTTTATTTTATCAGAATGAAATCATGTTTTAACACACGCACATACACTGATTATCATGCAAATGTTGATCAAACTAAATGTAGAATTCCTACCTCTTCCCTGGTCATACCTCTTCCCTGCCGATCGTCCCGTCTGAGAGGCAGGAGATGGGAAGGACACGACACGAGTTTAATTATGCCAGATAATCCCAGATATCTCAAGCAACTCGTGGGCCAAGAACAGCCTTCTGTCAACTCAAACTCATAGATCAAAAAAGGTGATTATCTGGCCATCCAGATCTATCCAGAAGTCCAGGATGTACTTGGCACGCGCTCGTGCACTCCGGATACAAACGTGCGTCAATCCTTGCCTGCCCTTGGGACATGGAAATCGCTCCTCAAACGAGAGCACGAAGCTAACCGCCTTGGTGCACAGGATGAAACACGAAGCTAATCCTTCGGACCATCGAGAGAGTTGGAGCCTTACTTTGGGCGCCTGTCCTACCCTCCATTAAACCATCGTGGCGATCTCCGGACCCGGAGTTCAGCATTGGGCACAAAGCATCCCCTCACTTATGGAGGGGTCTTTATAGATGCCACTCCAACCTGGAACTCCAGGCAGTTACTTTGTGAAAAATGCAATGATTCGTCATGATGCATACTCCTCAACACAAAAGTGCCCTTAGTCCTTCAGCCACTGTCACTGGTTCTTATGGATCCGCCAATGAAGCAGTCTTTGTGTCCATCGGGCACCGGGGATCCCGGCACTGCCCACGTGAAGTTCCAAAGCCTCCGTTTGTGCGGGCAGGGGCAGGCATTGAACGTGCACATGCGACAAGATGGAGCTGGAAACCTCCAAAAGCAAAAACACAAATACAAAAAGTACTGTATCCCCTGGGGAATTGCAGAAGTCAAACACCGAAGCAGCGAACAATTCTCTAAGCTTCTCTAAGTTTTTCACACAGTGTCTCTTGAATATGTTGGAACATTGGACTGGACCCATCAGCAAACCTCCCGCACCGCGTTTCAGCGCTCCGCGCACTGGCTGCACCTCCCAATCTTCCTGAAAGAGCTGTGCATCGCGACCAAACTGATCCCGACAAGCGGGGCACGCGATGAAGCCAAAGCCTGGGCACGGAAGAGCGTGACACTCCATGGGACTGCCATAGTTGCATACTCAAAAAGGGATCAATGGAGGCATATCTTCCAGTTCCAGCTTGAGCGTCTGGGTATGGATCCACAGACCTTCTGTGAGGGTGGGAGGCACCGGCCGGTGGAGTGGTCAGCTGGGGTTTACTGGACCTACTTTCAGTGTGTAATGATGTATACTGTACACAATTTAACACATTATCAGCAAATTTGGAATGCACCCAGGAACCTTAAAACACCTGAACAAAGATCTATATCATATGTTGTGCTACTCTGACGTTGTGCAGGATCATTTCCAGCCACTTGTTTCAACAATTTGGCAATGGTGGCATCTAAGCTTCAGATCCAATACAAACATACAGGAATGCAAAGCAAACAACGAAACATGTCATATTCATAAGTTTCCATGTTTTCATAAGGCCATGTACGGCGCCTGCCCTGCCTGGGTCCCCGCTTCCCAACGCGCCACAAATACCAAAGACCGCGGGTCCGGGTGCGGGCCTCACGGCCTCGTGAGGCGGAGGACCATGGACGATCGGTTTCTCGACCGAGTCCCGGACCGTTTTTCTCCGAATAGCGCTGTACATGGCCCACGAGGCGCTCGGCCACCTGGTAGGAGGGCGACACGGGGGAGTCCGAGGAGGGAGGAGTCCGACGAGTCGCGGAGGAATGAAAAGGGGAAGAGGCAGCGAATCAAGGAATTCATACCAGGACCCCGCCGTTGTTGGGGGGGTGTCTATATACTATAATATAGTCTATAGTATGGTCAAGGAGTGTCCAAGAAGCCATCTGTTGGACGGTTAGATATACTGTATAGTTTCCATGGAATTCCGGAGGGGGTCCACACACCCGAAACTTCCTCATTCCCTTCGAAGTAATTAGTATAGGTACCAGTCAGTCATGTATGACCATGCATCTGACATCCGCTGGAGGAAAAAAAGAAGTGACCGAAGCGAGGCACTCAAGGATCACACTGTAGGAGAGCGACATCATGACATTCCATGTCAGTGGCTTTAACAAGAGCATCATGCCATGCCACATCATCGCACTTAAAACCTAATTGGTGGAAGGCCTAGCTTGTTTGTATACAGCTGTATACATTAGGTACACCTGGCCCTTCGTACGCAACATCTGCCCCAGTTCGCACGGGCCCTTCGCGCACCTTGGTGTTTGATCCGGGCGCAGTCAGCCTCAGGCACGAGACTTCGGGACTGTTGTGGTGTTTTGGTCCCCGGGTTCAGGTGACTCAAGGAACGAATTATATAACTCATCAAGCTGGTCGCACTTCTTTTCTTCTGCATCCAGTGAAGGGTGCACACGCCCACATTGGGCAAAAGCGGCCCCGGGGCCGCATCAGAAGCGGCTCGGGTGGGCGGCTTTGCGGGAGAAGCTTGAGCGGCGAACAGGGCATTCTGAGTTAAAGGTCAACTCATCAAGCTGGTCGCACTTCTTTTCTTCTGCATCCAGTAAAGGGTGCACACGCCCACATTGGGCAAAAGCGGCCCCTCCATCTCCCGCCTCTTCCTTCTCGAGGTGTTGCCTTCCCATTTCTTGCTGCTCAAGGTCTCGAGCCGCCTTCTGATAAAGGATGGGCCATGCTGACTCCGGGACAGCCGCCCTCTTCCAAATCTCCGCAAGCTCCAAGGCCCACGGAAACAAACCAGCTCCTTCCATGATGCCCTCCTTGATGGACTTTGGAAGCTGTGGCAGAAACTGAACTGCCCAAGCTTCCTGCACGTACACTTCCATCACCTTTGCATTGATCCAGCGCCCGCGGCGCCTTGTCATGTCTGGGTTGTCGGAGGTCATCAGGAGCCATGACGCTCCTCCTGCTCTCAACGAGCCAAGGTCCAGGCCCTTCTTCGTCCGGAGGTGGTCGAGGGAGTTCGCCTGGACCAGGCGTTGGAAACGGCTCCGGATCGTTGATCCCGATGCCGGCCAAAGTCGTTGGTCAGGTCGCAGGTTCTCAAAGGCCGTGACGATGATCCTGACCAACTGAGGCTGATCCACCTTTGCCATCTGGTGGCGAGCACATCTGAACCGGGTCTTTGGCCCAGCTATTTGAAGGAGCACGTAGTCGATCGTGTAGTTGACATCAGACGGGAGGACCAGATCTCGTCTGAAGGCATTTACGGATTCTCCGATCCGTGTGATCCCGCCCCACGATAGGGCGATGATGCCAGCGACCCTGCACCAACCCCAGCAGAGCGATGTAGTGAGGAATGAGAGCATCGCCTGCCATGGGAGCGCAAGGTGGTGTACTGGTGGTTCTTGGCGTAGCCAGCTATAGGCCAGGTCCCAAGCCGGCTGGAGCAGTCTCCGTACCCTTGGCCGTTTGGCCGACACTGCATTGACGGTCTCACTGTAGTGACCGTACGGTCGTCCCGCTCGATACAGCTCACGGCCGTACCTCTCCAGCAGAAGGTTGAGGGCCTCGACGTCAGGAGCCCCCACCATGAGGATCTCATCCAGCAGGATGCCCTGCGAGCGAAGCCATTCTTCGAAGGCCCCAATCAATTTGTCTCTCTGCCGCTGGGTCTGTCCCAGCACCGGTCTGCCATCAGGCAGTTCTAGCTGACCTCTTGTCTCTTGTCGTGCGCGGTCGGCAGCATCTCTGGGCTGCAGCTTCAGTCCATGGCGAGGCGCGCCGGCTACAAGGCCTGGGTGTTCCAGGAACAAGATGGCCAAAAGGAGGGCCTGAAGCTTGGCTTGCCTGAAAAGGGTCAGAGAAGAGGAGCGCGGCCGGGGACGGCTACGGACACGGACAGGCACAGCTTTCCTCGGCAAGGCAGAGGTTAAGACAAAAGTGGCAAAGCTGATGCAGGCCCCAAAAATTCCAACCAGGGCAGCAAGGGCCCCAAGAAGTCTAACCAGGGCTGGAATTCCAAGGGGAAAGGCGGAAGCAAGGCAACGCATCAACTGCACTCGAGAGCCTCCAGCAGCAGGACCTTCTCCGGGATAGCCACAAGCGCTGTCAAACTCCTTCTGGCTGAAATCCGCCCCCCGGGCGCCGAAGGGGCAGTGCTTGTAACTGACATGAGCAAACCTCCAGGAATCCTTACTTTGGCTCCACAGGGGCAGGTCTTGCAAAAGGAGAAGAACCAGGCGAACCCAGTTTGCCCCTTTTCGAGCCAGGTTTGAAACCTTTGAGAACTGTAAGAGCTCGGTGCACGTCGCCTCAGGAGGCCGGCAGCTCCTGCATGGAGGAGGGAACTCATTGTCTCTGGTAGGATGGTCGGCTGGTAGTAGTCTGGTGGGCCCAAAATGGTAGGCCGGATACAAAGCTCCTGCAACGATGGTGGACCCTGCCCTCCTCAGGGCGGGTCGGAGGCCATCTGATGGTGATCTGCCCTTGACTAGGGCAGACATGCCCACGTTTGAATCCATGACAACGGGGAAGCGTGACTTTGGCCAAGAGACGGCCTGTTCCTTCATCAGTCTCTCAGCTGCAAGGACCTCTTGAATGTTTATGTGCTTGGGGCTTCTCCAAGACCACACTTTGTCGACCTTCCATTTGGCTGACAGTAGGACGTCATTGCAAAGGGGGCTCTCAAGACCTTTCAGCTTGGGCTCGACGGACTGGGTCCCCCGGATCTTCTTCGTGAGGGCCTTGTCGAAAGACTGTCCCAGGGCCGCAGCCAGCTCATCGGTGTAAACAGCTGAGGGCTTTGACCACTTGCTCTGTATGTGCTTGTGCTGGCCATCGCAGGTGCGAGTCAGGAGAGAGGTATCGAGGCTTGAAGTAAGGAAGACGAACTCCTTCTTGTGGATGGATCCGAACATGCACGAGGCGGTGATTGACTCAGAGGCGCCCCATCACGAACATAGCAATTCCCACTCTGGGAGCTTTCTCATCTTGCTTCTTCTTGGCTGCTCAAGCAGCCCAGGGATGTTGAACCTGACCGCCATCATCATCAACGATAAGGCTCGCAATGCCATGGTTGTACCTTGCAAGGTCTTTGGGTCAAGTGGATCATATCCTCTGGGTCTGTCATAGCCTCTTGAGGCAGGATGCTGTGCTGGGCTGAAGGTGGTGCAAGGAGGTGCTATCATAAAGGAGTCCAACTTGCCTGACTCAATCAGGTGGAAAAGCCAGGCGATAACTCGGAGGGCCCCACAATCAAAATGCGGGGACCTATCCAGGTCAATGACTGGCCCAACAACCCAACCATATTTCGCAACTGCTGCTGCAACCTTACCAGCTCCCCCGCAGATGTCCAGGAAGTGGAACCTGAAAGCGACTGGTCTCTCGGGGTCGATGTCATCTTGGCCTCTCCTCATACATCTCATCAATGTTCTTGAGGATGGCCTCGGACCTAGACAGCATTCGTGCATAACTGGCCTTCTTCCTCCCAGACCGGCAAAGGGCTCGGGACAATGCCTCACTTACGGGCGCCGAGACGACTGCCCCCTTTCCGTCAGAAGAGTCTGTAGCATAGCATCGAGGCTGTAGGGGAGCAGAAACATCGGAAGCCATCAGTGGGCAGAGCACCGCCAACAGGGTGAGCTCCTCTGCAACTGATCTTGGCAGGTTCACTGTCTTTGGCCTCTCCTGGTCAACCTCAGACATCTGGATCTTGTAGGCCTTTTGAAGGATCGACATGAAGGGCCTTCGGTACATCGCAGCGGACACCCATCCACCAATCAGGCAAGCATGCAGCGCATCGGAAGTCGTGTCCTTTGCTGCCAGCTCCAAGGAGATGTAGGACAAGGCGAGGCGCTTTCGGACTGGAGCCGCGACCAGAACTAGCCCCAGAGACCTGGTCAGTGATGACGAGTCAACCTCGGCCCCAATGATCTTGCCTTTCTCTTCATCGACTAGGTCCTTGAGAGGAGATCCTTCAAGGCCCGCGTCAGCATAGGCCTTTCTTGCCAGGAGGATTTGCTTGATTCCCTGAGGTGCCTGAGCAGTGTCTATCCACTCAGACTTTTCATCAGGCCATCTTCCATTTGCGGCATCCTCGACGGAGATGGAAAAGAAGTCATCGATGACGAGGCCAGAAGCAACTTTTTGGCCAAGGTAAGGGAGGCCGGATCTAACCTCTTCCTCTTCCTGGAGGAGGCCTTTGGAGATGAGGTAGTTTCGATGGCTTTCTGTGGCAATCTCTACTCCAAGGTGGTCTCCTTGAGGTATGCTAGCAAAGCATGCCTGGAAAGCGGAGGGCATCTTGTGGGCAGCTTTCTTCTTCCTGGGCCGCTCCCCCAGATAGTCACCCTCCTTGAGTCTGTCATACGCTCTTTGGCCTTTATTTGAGAGGCACCACCTCTCGAAGGCCTTTGTTCCCTTGACGTCCTCGAGGGAGATGAAAGGGTAGAGGCCATTTGTCTCTGCTCTGCTCTTTGTCACCATGAGCTGGTGGTAGAAGTCTTTTCGATCCGTGACATTCAGCGACAGCCGTTGGAACGGGAGCCGAACCTCAAGGTCAAGGAGGCACTGGGCTGAAGGCAAGCAAGCAGAGACACCAGGAAGTCGGGCTTCAACGTAGTTCCTGGACCGTCTGTCGCCAATCATTCTGTCCGTTGTCTCATTTTTGAAGGCATTGAAGAACCTCATACTGGTGGACACATCGACATCTTGATCAGCTGGCCTGATCAGCAGGAGGCCGTTGACGTCCCAGATCCTGGCCAGTTGGATCTTCTTTGGTAAGATTTGGAGCATTGCCAGTCCTCTGGTCCTCGGCCCAGCGAATGCTGAAAGGTTCGACATATGCCATCCATAGTTGATCTGAAAGATAAGGGGACGGATCCCACTGAGCATGGCCGTAGAGCTTGAGGCGGTCAGGCTGAAGGTCTCTGTAGGGACGGAGTTCATCTGCCCTGTCCAGGTTGCGAGCAACATCAAGGCCTTCTTTCAAACCACCATGCGCTCCAGGGAAAGTCCGGGAATAGGAATCTCCACCAACGCCCTCCCAGGTAGCAAGGTCTGAGAGGTCTGCCAGAAGGGAGATCAGTGAAGTAATTCTACGGCCGCTTGAAGGAACTTCAAATGTCTCTCCAGAGCTACCGAAAGCCTTGAGCATCCTCCGGATGTGGTCGATAGCCGATTGCTGAGGCCTGCTTGGTTCCCTTGCTAAAGAAGAGGCTGGGACAAACTTGAAATCTGCGTGCCAGTAGTTCAGGGCCATCACACAAATGTGGAGAGCCTGATCAAAAGCAACCCTCTTCCTCTGTCGGGAGCCATGCTTACCTCCTCGGAAGAAGCTTCGGGACCGGCAACGGGAACAAGGCTTTTGAAGAACTGCAAGGATGCAGTCTTGTGATGCAGAAGGTAGTCCGCAAGAACGTCGCAAAGGAGGTTCTGGACCTCAAAACTGTCGAGCAGAGGGATGAAGCCCAACTATCAAATGAGTAGGTCTGGAGCCTGTCCCAGAGAGCCTCAAGTGGTTCCTCATCGGGGACTAGCCCTGTCTTCTTCTCCTCTCTCGAGGGTGTCGGAAGCTCAGTACTCTCAGCTTTCCCGCTCCCTTGACTGTAGCAGGCACTATGTCCGGAGAGCCCCCCGACCGCAGGCAACAGTCCAGGCAGGGCCTGGCCGTTCTGAGGTAGAAGAGCGCAGCAAAGGGGCTCTCCAGACGGGCCTGAGGGAGCTGGGTTCTGAGAGGAGCTGGTAGGAAGCTTTTCCCGGCAGGTCACCTTTCGGGACCCGGAACAAGGGCTTTGAGCCTCCTTTGGTTGGCTGTCATGCGTGCCTTTGCCCTGAAGGCGGGGTCCATCATCGCCTGAAAGGATAACTTGTTCGTCATCAACCTTCACTGGCTGGATGTGTCTCCTCCCTGCTTGGGCTTCTTGGGGTAGCGAGCGGGCTTCTTCTTGGGGCCCGCCTGGTCGTCCTGTTCCTTCCCAAGCTGGTTCTTCTTTCCTGGCAGGGCTTCTTGTCTCCTGGAGTTTATCAGGTCGACCTCCTTGACATAGGACAACGCCGTGGTGGCCCACTCCGGCGGACAAAGAGGGGCAAAGGCTCGGAGCCTGGGATTCGTCGTGGTGGGCCTTGCTTGGAAGACACCCGGAGGAGGATCCTCCTGCAGTGACAAGATCCACCCTACTTCCCACTTTCCAGAGTCCTGAGCCACCTGCTCCAAAGTCACCATAGTCAGTGCTAGCAGTTCTTGGGCCCCGGTTGCATCTTCGTTCAGGAATGCATCCGCCATCTGGCTGAGCAGCCACATAGTGAGGCCCAGGTCTCTCTGACCAGAATAGCCACCGCTTCTTTCCATGTACTTCGAGAAAAGGGCACGTCCTCCAAGGGCAGAGATCTCCTGAGGGACGAGCTCTGAGGACCTGAGGCGCCGGAAGGCATTTTGTGACACCTTGAGGAAAAAGTTCCCTCGCCTCTCTGCCAGGTCCCTGAGCAGCTTGTCCCGCTTCAGCGAACCCTTCAAACTGAGGGCTGAGCCTGTTGCTGTCGCGCCAAATTCCATGCCATCCTGACCCGCTAAGTGAGCCACAAGAGTCGTCAAAGCCTGAGAGTGCTGGAACAGAGCCGCAGAGAGCGCCTCTGGTTGTGGAAGAGCTGGAATGCTCTGTTCTCCTCCGGGGTAGTCTGGATCTAGGGCAGGGCGAGAGGTTCGTCCACATTCGTGAATTCCACGGTCTTCCGGGGCTCTGGGTTTGCATCGGCCAGTGGTCTGGACCTTGGCGGGCTGCCCACTCTGGAGTCCTGCTTGTGAGCCGGAGGCTCCTTGGATGAGGCTTGAGGTGCAGAGCTCATCAGGCGTTCCACCCTGTCTTGGCGCTGGGTCATAGCCTCCAGCTGGGAGGACATAGCAGGGAGCACCTTGGAGATCTCTGCTAACTGCTCGCCTAGCGTTGCCGTAGTAACCCTCTTGGGAGTGGAAGCCCCACCAGGGGAGGCCTTCGCCTTGGGCTGCCTCGAGGAGGCCTTTGGTGCCGGGGTCACAGGCAGGGGGGGAATTTGTGTCTCTTCTGCCGAATAGAATTGAGTCCTTCCCTCTGTACCCCCTTCCACATAGGCGTAAGCCGCAAGAAGTAGGGAATTGGACTCTGGCAAAATTTCCATGTGTGGTGGCGAGAAACAACGGATGCCGGGTCCTTCTGTGACTGGGTCGAAGCCTCGAATGCTCTCCAAGATGTTCTTGTGGAAGTCTATCAAAACAACTGGAATATCTTCTGTGTGGGGTGTTTCTGTCCCGTCCAACTCCTCGAAGACAGCAGGCAGTGTCACCCTCGTCGACGGGCCTACAAGGTCGTCCATCGCTGCAAAAGCTCCAGCCTGGAGAACCTCCGGAGAAAAAGCTCCCTCTGGTACTGCAATCAGAACCCCCGACTGCCGGCTCAAAACTGGGATTGCAAAACTCTCCGACCACTCCCCATCCCATGCAGTGAGGTCCAAGCCCATCACATAGGTCTGGAGAACTCCTTGGTCCAAAAACTGAATCGGGCCACCTGTCGCCATCTCTACTGCTCGGCCTCAGGAAAACTAATTCCAGCGGCAAGGCAGTAGACCCTGGCCTCAGCTTGGCTTGGGAACGAATGGCTGACGGAGTTCTCGAAACGTGGCAGGAGCTTGAAATACTCTGCCGCTGAAGAGACTCTGGTCGGTCGCTGAGCGCCTGGACCCTTGAGGATGATGTAGGTGGTGGCCTGCAGTGCAATCTTTGGGGTAGGTCGAGGCTTTGGGATCTTTCCCTCCAATGTGGCCTTGGCCCAACAACCGGCAATCCAAGCTCGAGTAGCTCGGGACTTGACGTCCTCAATGGTGCCACCCAGACGGCCACAAAGATCCACACAGTGATCAGGCAAGGGGGGAATGCTCTTCTCGACGTCGTGATAGCTCGAGAAGTTGGTGCACGGGGCACCGGTGCGCTGATCTCTTTCCGCCTCCAATGCCTCAGTGACCAGGTCCCAATCGATAGTGTCGGTGGAGACCTCAGTGACCCTGTCAGATCCAGCGGACGGCCCCCTCTCTGCTGCGGCAGCAGCCCTCTCAAGATTGTCAGCTAGGCCCCGTAGAGCGCGAGCGGATGCTCGTACAGCCTCAATCAAGATGTGGAGAGCGGCCTGAGCGCTCATGCAAATACGCCGAGAGGCGCAATGAAGGGGTCGGAACCCGGTCGAAGCGCTGCCCAAAAGCAGCAGGTGGAGATCCCGGAGGCCCTGAGTGCAGGTGGAGCCAGAGGACAAGGAGAGCCGCGGCCAAGAAGCCGAGGCAGAAACCTGTCACGAGGAAGCAAGCCAGGTAAAGGCTTGAGGCCGAACAGTGTGCAGGGCAAGCCAAGCCGAACCAGCTAGACGCGCTCCCAAAACTCAGGAGTCGGAGGAGTTCCCCGACCCACGGCTGCATGAAGCTTGAGCGGCGAACAGGGCATTCTGAGTTAAAGGTCAAGATTTCCTGGTTGGAGAACAGTTCAGGTGAATCAAGTACGACTTGAGGCCAGGGGGAGAGGTCGAAAGCTAGCCGAATCGCACCGGATGTACTAGTTACATAGTCGGCAAAGCATGTAGGGATGACATGTTTTGGGAGGAAGGTTGCTATGTACATACTTTGCGCTAAAGAATGTAAATGTGACATCGCTGACTGGGAAGGGTACATTGGAACAACCCGGGTGCACTCGTTGGCAGGCACGAAGATGCGTGATCGGCAAATCTGGGGGGTAAATTTACCCTCCGCTTTTGTATGCCTTGAGTCGGAAAGAGGGGTAAGCATTTCTGACATCATACGGACTGTACATACACTAGGGCGTCCGTAGTGTAGGAGAAGCACGGGTAAAAGGTATATGGAATAGAGTGTCTTGAGGAAATAGCCGGTGTATGGTTATTGCAAATCTGGGGGGTAAATTTACCCCCCGCTTATGTATGCCTTGCGCTGGAAAGAGGGGTAAGCATTTCTCACATCACAAGGACTGTGCATACACTAGGGCGTCCGTAGTGTAGGATAA